AGAGCCAGCATTCTGAAGCTTTTGCAAGAAGACATACGACAAGCTGTGGACCTGCTGAGAAATCTACCATGTATAGATCATCTTTCCGATACCCTTCAAAGACTAGAGACTTGTCAGATTCCATTAGTACAAGGCAACGATATTTTCCATATAGCACAATCATGTTCAAGTCATAAAGCATTGAGATATGCATTAAGTTGAACCCAAGGGATTCAACAAGCATCACTTTATCCATGTGTTGATCCTTTGAGATTGCAACTCTACCTAGACCCAATACCTTGCTTTTACCAATGTCAGCAAATGTGATGTGACTCTTGTCTGATGGACGTAAGGTTGAGTCCATGAGAAGACTTCGATCACCGGTCATATGATTAGTGCATCCGCTGTCCATAATCCATTCTGAAGCATGAGGTGTCATACCCTACAGTGCAGTTAGGAGGATAGGCTTCACAAAGTGTGTTGTGAAGCATAAGCATTTGACGCACACAAGGATTATCACAGTTTAGATCAAGGTTAGGACTCATAGTATGACTGGTAAGCGATTCACATGTGAAATACATAGTAAGACCATTTTATTATGCGTCCCTTAATGTGTTTTAGGTCCCCAGCAATAGTATCGGACGCCTTTGATAGCAGGCTGGAGACCTTATTCTGCAAAAGAAAGTTAATTCTTCTTCACCACCCACATCTTCAGGGGTGGCTTAGAAGCAATGAGTCTAAGTGCAGCATCTGAGAACTTCGGCTTTGGAGCCCTAGCAAATAGCCTTGCAGGAGATGAATGGTACTCATATGAATAAGCAAAAAAGTTCTTAGTTCTATGAACATAGCGGTTTGAAGACACACACTCATATTCATAAGTTTGAATATGATTTCCCTGCAAAACATTGGCGTTAGGGTGACTCAGGTGAGTCCTGTATCTGTATGAAGCCTTTGGACCATATGACGCCTTAGGTCTGGGGTTTGTCTTCTTCCCTGGTGGTGTCATGATCACATTCACTGGAAGATTCTCAAGACAGCTTTTGGGAACCCATATCTTCTTCATAGGTGGTCCATTCCTGCAGTTAGTACCAATATACCTGGCAAACACTTCACCATTCTGATTCTTGAACAACTTATAGTTTGCATCAAGGGATTCATCAATGATAATAGGATTAGCACAGGTAAAGCCAGATAAGGTGGATGGATCCACTGAAGGTTCCTTTGCAGCAACCCATGTGGTTTTGGGATACTGATCAGGCTTCCAGTAGGAACCATCAACATTCATTTTCCTCTCGAACCCAACACCCTCTTTCCTAGGGTTTCGGTTCCGAATCTGCTTTTTGAGGATATCACAAAGTGTCTGATGTCCTTTCAGACTTTTATACATCCCTGTTTCAAGCAATGTCTTCAACCTAGCATTTTCATCAGCAATAGTAGTGGTATCCTCCGTAGAGGGGTTAGTTTCCACATCAGTAGTTGAAGACAATGCAACAGTAGCAGCAGTGGAACATTCAGCAACAGAGGTAGCGTTATCACGCTTAATGCATTTTAGACAAGGTGGTTCAAATCCATCCTGAGCGGAACTGATCCTTTGAGCGCGAAGTGACTCATTCTCCTTTTCAAGATCTTCATGAGCCGCTTTCAATTTCTCAAGCTCTTCCTTTGAAGATAATCATAGGAGAGCTTTTCATAAGTGGTTGAGAGCGTCTCATGAAGACTTTCAAGTTCTTGGTACTTAGCATGAAGATTTTTTATGTCTACAACTAAGGACTGTGAACGTGTCATTTACGCATCCAACAGGTCATCGCTTTTGTCTAACAGTTTTTGAGTATGTTCCATAGCTTTTTGTTGTTCAGTTGCAATTTTAGCAAGTGTTTTGTAGCTGGGTTTGGATTCACAATCAGAGTCATCTTCACTTGATGTTTGAAAGTAAGCATCACGTGATTTTACCTTGGCACCACGTGCCATGAAGCAGTAGGTGGGAGCAGGATCGTCCTTATCATCAGCTTCAGCGTTGGTGTGGAAGTCATTGTCTTCAGTGTTGAAAATGGACTTGGCAACATAGGCTGTGGCTAGAGCCAGACTTGCAAGACTCCTCTTCGGACTCCACCTCCGCCTCCTCAGAAGCAGACTCCTCCTATGAATCCATTTCCTTGCCAACAAAAGCACGAGCCTTGCCAGATGAGCTCTTCTTATGAGATGAAGACCTTGATGAGGACTTGGAAGAAGACTTTGAAGATTTCTTCTTCTTCTTCTTCTCATTGTCCCACTGTGGACACTTAGAGATATAGTGTCCAGGTTTCTTGCACTTGTGACATGTTCTCTTCTTGTTGTCATGAGTGGAAGCTTCATCATTTCTTGAGCTAGATCGTGAAGACTTTCTGAAGCCCTTCTTCTTGGTGAACTTCTGGAACTTCTTCACAAGCATAGCAAGTTCCTTTCCAATGTCTTCAAGATCATCAGAACCGCAGTCAGATTCTTCTTCAAATGAGGAAACAACTTTTGCCTTCAAAGCGCGAGTTCGGCCATAGTTGGGACCATAGATATCTCTTTTCTTAGAAAGCTGGAACTCATGTGTGTTGAGCCTCTCAAGTATATCAGACGGATCGAGTGTCTTGAAGTCAGGGCGTTCTTGTATCATGAGGGCAAGGGTGTCAAAGGAGCTGTCAAGAGATCTCAGTAGTGTCTTGACGATTTCATGCTTGGTAATCTCAGTGGCGCCGAGTGCCTGAAGCTCATTTGTGATGTCGGTGAGGCGATCAAACGTGAGCTGGACATTTTCATTGTCGTTTCTCTTGAAGCGGTTGAAGAGGTTGCGAAGAACACTGATCCTTTGGTCTCTCTGAGTTGAGACGCCTTCGTTGACCTTGGATAGCCAGTCCCAGACTAGCTTTGATGTTTCCAGAGCACTCACACGGCCATACTGTCCTTTGGTCAGATGACCACAGATGATGTTCTTTGCAGTAGAGTCCAGTTGAATGAACTTCTTGACATCAGTAGGGGTGACACCTTCACCAGTTTTGGGAACGCCGTTCTTGACGACATACCAGAGGTCGACATCAATGGCTTCAAGATGCATGCACATCTTATTCTTTCAGTAGGGATATTCAGTTCCATCGAACACGGGGCAAGCAGCGGAGACTTTGATTATCCCTGCAGTCGACATAGCTAAACTCCATGTGGTTAAACTGAATCACACAGAACAAGGGAGTACCTTGCTCTGATACCAATTGAAAGTGCTAGTTATAGACAAGAGGGGGGGTGAATAGGCAATTTTTATCAAAGTCTTCAAAACGTGGAAGTTTCGAAGACAAACAATAGAAATGACCTAATTGATATGCAGCGGAAGATAAACTACAACAAGCAAACCATAGTCAAGTATGCAATAATGTGAAAGTACAAAGACTAATAGCAGCTTGGTAGTAAGGATCAGGATGGAAGATAGTCTGAAGCCAACCAACGATAGTAGTCAAGCAATGAAGTCAAACAGGTACGACAAATATGCAATGACTTCACGAAGACAAACTCAAAGTAAAGGGAGGGAGATGATAGAACCAGTCACTTGTTGAAGACACATGATTTGTTGGACCAGTTCCAGTTGCTGTGACAACTGTACGTCTGGTTAGGGAGGCTGAGATTCAACTCAGAAGACCGCGTCTTCACCTTATTCCCCTTGAGCTAAGGACACACAGTCCTCGCCCAATCACTCTGGTAAGTCTTCAAGGTAGACTTCCGAACCTTCACAGACTTCGTTCACCGGCGATCCACAATGACTCTTGGATGCTCAGAACGCGACGCCTAACCGGCTGGAGGATACACAATCCTCAAGTGTAATAAGTCTCCAGGTCACTCAGACAGAAAGACTTCAGTGATGCCTAACACTCTTTGGCTCTGGGTGTTTGGGCTTTGTCCTCGCAAGGATTTCTCTCTCTCAAAGGCTTCGAGGTGGGTTGCTCTCAAACGACAAAAGCCGTGAACTAACTCTGAGCAGCCACCAATTTATGGTGTAGGGGATGGGCTATTTATAGCCACAAGGCAACCCGACCTGATATGTCCGAAATGACCCTGGGTCACTAAGGAACTGACACGTGTTCCAACGGTCAGATTTCAAACACACACGGCAACTTTGCTTGGGCTACAAGAAAAGCTGACTCATCCAACTCTAGATAAGATTTGCTCTCATTGTCTTCGCTCGAAGACATAGGATTTGGGTTGAGCACCACTTCAGTCATTCTGACTTTGTCCACTTGGACCCCACTTAACAGTACGGTGGTTCCTATGACTAAACAAAAAAGAAAAGGAAACAACGAAACAACACAGTCTTCGCGCTCCATAGTCTTCACTCAATGTCTTCTCATGTCATAGTCTTCAATATGAATATCTTCACATACCACCATTGTCGTCAATGTCTTCATACATTTTTAGGGGTCATCTCCGGTTGGTAAACCGAATCAATGAGGGACACTACCTGCATTATCCTGCAATTCTTACAAACGCATTAGTCCCTCAACCAACTTTGTCGTCAGTACTTCAAAACCAACTAGGGGTGGCACTAGATGCACTTACAGGTGTAGTCTGCCATGGCTGGGGAGGCTCGAGCACTGCAAGGTATGGCGAGGGGCGGCCGGGGCGGATTCCAGGGAGAGGCATAGGGGCGGATTCTAGGAAGAGGCAGAGGGGTAGTAGTCCGGCGAGGGGCGACCGCAGGCGAACGAGATCCGGCGAGGGGCGGCCGCACGCGAACGACATCCGGTGAGGGGCGGCCGCACGCGGACGACAAGGCGCTCTTCTCTGACGGCGGTGGTCGAGGGAGCCCGCTGGTTGCCTGGCCGACGCGTGGTGCCTGCCGGCGCTGGTGCCCTCCTGTACGTGCGCTGTGCGAGGAAGAGAGAGACCGGCCGAATCGTTCCGCCGGTGCCCCGGCCCCAAACGGTTACCTTATTGGAATACTTCAAAAATATTTGCAACCAAACGGAGCCGAGTGTAAATGCACTCGAAGAAAAAGAGACGCCGCTCCGTCAATGAAAGCTTCCCCCACCTTCCACTTGACCATGGCCACTCCTCGTCTCCCCTGCCTCTTCGTTCTCCTCCTCCTCTCCACCGCCTCGGCGGAGTACGCGGAGGAGCTACTTCGGCGCGCCGAGGGCGAGCGAGAGTGGATTACCGGCGTGCGGCGGCGCATACACGCCCACCCGGAGCTCGCGTTCCAGGAGCACCGCACCAGCGCCCTCGTCCGCGAGGAGCTCGAGCGGCTAGGTGTTACCGCCCGCGCCGTTGCCGGCACCGGTGTCGTCGCTGATGTCGGCTCGGGCATGCCCCCGATCGTCTCCCTCCGCGCCGACATGGACGCCCTGCCCATCCAGGTCCGTTCCCCAATCTGAGGCTCAGATGCTACTCTTATGGTCTGGCGCAAGGTGTTCTTCCCCTTGGATGCTACTCCGGTAATCTGGCGCGGGTGTGTGTGGCCAGTGATTGATGCTGAATGGCAGCAGTCAATGGGAACTGTGTCTCGGGAAGTATAAATTGCTGGAGCGGTACTGTACTAATACAGATCATGCTTGTATGATTAGTTTGCTGTAAATAATGTGACTGTCGCTTGCTATTGGGTATGTTAGGATATTGCTTGCTCGAATGACCACATTCTGTCGGTTGTGAATGATATTCTTTGTTGGAGGGATCACATTTTGTTGGTTGCGTACTTGGGATGGCAGGAATTGGTGGAGTGGGAGCATAAGAGCAGAGTTGATGGTGTAATGCACGCCTGTGGTCATGATGTGCACACAGCGATGCTACTGGGAGCGGCAAAGTTGCTTCATGAGCGCAAGGATCAGCTTAAGGTGGGTGCTTGCTTAGGGCATGTACAATGGTGGCATATGGATACATATGCCTCATGACAAAAAGTAATTTGAAGCACCTACATTTATTTTTCCTCTCCAATGCAAGCTATCACTAGTGGGCCTCATTAAGAAATAAAAAATAAAGACTCTAGTACACATGCATCTCTAAAATAAAAAATAAGCTATCCGAACCTACTTTACGTCATATCCGATCCTACATGGCATGCGAGGGATCACCTTGAGGCTATGCATTGTACATGCCCTTATATTTCTGCTCTAAGTTTCACGGAATTTAGTACTTCAGTCGTCAGACAAAATACTTGACCCCCCCTGTGTTTCTCTTGTTGTTTGTCCAAAAGAGAATACAACCCCAATGCTTTTCCGTTGTATTGTGTGAGTCATAGCATGATGGTAATTTTTCTTTTTCTTTTTCGGAAAGGAGTCATTGTGTGAGTCATAGCATGATTGTAAATTTCCTTTTTCTTTTTTGAAAAGGAGTCATTGTGTGAGTCATAGCATGATGGTAATGAATAGTTAGATACCATGGCATAGCTTCGGTCGTTGTTTGACTTTGCTAGTTGCCGGTGTGATTTTCATTTTGTGTGTGTGTTGGTGTTGGCTATGTGCATCCTATCTATGCAGAGGCCGGGTGTGTGTTCATTGTGTTTGTATCTCCTTATGCTTCATTTTGAGTGAATAGAATCCACCCTTTGTCGGGAAAAAAAACCCTCAGCTAGGTAGGATGACCATTCCCTCAAAAAAGTAGACTGACCATTAAATCGGAAATGGTCAGAAGTGACAGAGATTATGTATACTCATTATTATTATTATTTTTGCATGAAACATATATACTCATTATTTATTATTTGTCTTGTATGACGAAGGGAACAGTGAGACTCCTTTTTCAACCTGCTGAGGAGGGTGGTGCTGGTGCATCTCATATGATAAAAGAAGGTGTTCTTGATGGTGTTGAAGCTATATTTGCAATGCATATCGATTATCGGATGCCAACAGGGGTAATAGCTGCTCATGCAGGACCAACACAAGCAGCTGTATGTTTCTATGTAGTGAAAATAGAAGGTAAAACCGGGAAGGCTGAAACCCCACACTTAAATGTGGATCCTATTGTTGCTGCAGCATTTACCGTCCTGTCCCTGCAACAGCTCACTTCAAGAGAAGATGATCCTCTTCACAGCCAAGTACGCCATTGCCCTATAGCGATACTACTTTGCTTTGCTGTTTTTCTTCAAACATGTTATACAGAAGTGTAACGAAAACCCAATGGACCATTCCAACAAACAAAAGTCTATGTCGCACGAAAACACAGTGGATCATGCCAAAAATCTTGCTAATACATATTATTGCAGTCACAAAATAGAGCATGTCTCGCAAAAAAGAGAGTGAATCTTGCACGTATACATGTTATTAGGGCTTAGATGGGCGGGAGCCCTTTTGTTCAACTATTCTCCCCTATTGCTTATGGTATTGTATCAGTTGAAGGAAACAAGTGCTAATAGTTTCTCCTTTGTACAAGTGCGTCTACGATCCTACGTGGCTGGCCCCATCTCGATGTAATGCAAGGGCTTACGTTGTAAAGCTGCATTTGTTTTAGTCTGGATTAGGTATTAGCCTACAAATGTAACCAAGATATTTCATAACTTTGAGCATATGAAACATATTGAGTAGGCACCTGAAAGGCTACTCTAGTGATGATTTCCTATGGGAAATCAACAGCTTGGCTAAGGATGTGATACTCATTTTGATGCATATTTGTAACATCAGTCAAGTGTTCTACAGTCCATTCCACTGGATGTCTTCAGAGTCTATCTGCATACATTCAACTAACCTACCTTAGGAACAGCACTTGTTTCTATATGATGTTGACCGCAATTTTGCTCTGCCATACAGCCCATAACATTAACATATTTGTGTTGATCTGTCTATTTATTTTCTTCAGGTGCTCTCTGTCACCTATATTAAAGGTGGGAACTCAGTTGATGTCATACCTCCAGTTGTTGAATTTGGAGGTACTTTGAGGAGCCTCACTACTGAAGGACTTTATCGGCTACAGAAAAGACTTAAGGAGGTTAGCCTTATGGCACAATTTAATTCACTAATAGGTAGCATTTGATGATAATATTGGTGTGCTACAATCACCAGTACCTTCATACTTCATTTCTCTGTGAGCAAAGAGCTTCATATCACTGACAGCACCTTGTGCTCTCCCTCGAGAGCAAGACTCTCTCGAAACAGGCTTTCGTCCCGCTTTATACATAAAGCACCAACCATAGTTATGCATGGTCTATTGGTCTGGTTCCCATGGCCAGAAATTCATGTTTCTTTTCCTCGTGAACGGGCGAGCACAACGGGGTTAACACTGTTAGCGTATGGCTAATCATTACCTCAAACTATTAAACAGCTTTACTATGGGTGCAATGCAAACTGTAGCATCCTGAGTAAATGCTCTTGCTTCTTCCAGGTAGTAGAAGGGCAGGCAGCTGTACATAGATGCAGGGGAGTTACGGAGATATTGGGGGCTCCCTCCCACCCAATGTATCCTGCCGTCGTCAATGATGAGAGACTGCACCAGCATGTAGAGAATGTGGGCAGAAGTTTGCTTGGTCCAGACAAGGTGAAGCCCGGAGAGAAGATCATGGCAGGGGAAGACTTTGCATTCTACCAACAGTTAGTTCCTGGCGTTATGTTTGGTATCGGTATTAGAAATGAGAAAGTCGGTTCGGTCCACTCTGCTCACAACCCACATTTCTTTGTCGACGAGGATGTCCTTCCGATTGGAGCTGCATTGCATACTGCCACCGCAGAAATGTATCTTTCTGGGCGTTCCACTCAAAATGAAGATGGAAGCGTGCATTCGACGATTTGAATGTATAAATGTATGTCAAAGATGTTCCAAGTCTAGTTGTGTACGTACTCCTACTTGTGTTCAACTTTTCAAGGCTCAAATGCATATTTGTCAGAAGGCACGTATGGTGGGTTGCAGCAAGATTGAAGTGGCCTCGGATAATGAAGGGTTGTCAATGATCTTAATGAAGGTGTCTTGAATTCAGTAGCAAGTGCCATTATCGATGACTGTCTTAAGATTTTAACCATGTCTTGTTTGAGCATTGTAATCAGGCTGCTCATGTAGCTAAAATAGCTAAGTAGTACTCTACTCCTGTCTGGATGGATTCGCCACCCTTCCTTGCAAGTGATACGATCGTTTTGATGGAATAAAGGAAGAGATGAGTTATAAAAAAAATCAATGCTCAAATGCACATTTGTCAGAAGGCAGATTTGTTGGAGTTAGACCGCACATGGGGGGCTAATGCTCAATAAGTACATAGCAGTAAATGTGATAAAAATGACATACATGTTCATTGTAAAAACTCAGTACAAAGAGAAAGAAAAAGAGATGGCCATTGACAAGCCCAATAGTACTACATACTACACAAACACAAAAACAAAATAGGAATCGCACAATGTAAACAAGCTGGCCAACGGTAAATGGCCAAAATCAAATGATCAAGTAAACATTCCCAAAATCATTGAACCAGCATCGTAGATTCCCGCTCCCGGTGCTCTGGTTCGTGCCTATGCTGAAGGAGGTGGCGCAAGGAATGGCATCGGCACGTTCACAGTGGGAATGGAAGGCATCGGAGGCAATGCCACCTTGGGGATGGAGATGGATGGAATTGCAGGCATTGGCGGCATCGTCACCTTCGGCACAACAACTGCGGGCATGGGCGGCAACGTGACCTTGGGCACAGTGACCGCGGGGACGGCCGGCATGGGCGGCAACGTGACCTTGGGCACGGTGAGCGCAGGGACGGCCGGCATGGGCGGCAACGTGACCTGGGGCACGGTGATCGCGGGCACGGCCGGCATGGGGGGCGCCGTGAGCTGCGGGACAGTGAGCGCGGGCACGGCCGGCATCGGCGGCACTGTGACCTGCGGTGTGGCGAGCGCGGGTACGGTTGGCACTGGTGGCATTGTAGGCATGGTGGGCACGGGCGGCTTCGGTGCGGGGATGCCCGAGACAGCGGCAGGCGTTGCAGTGGGCGCTGCTGCCTCCGTGGTGTCCGCCAGGAGGCGGCCGGCGTGGGCCATGTGGCCGCTAAGGAGAGCGAGGGCCATGGCAATGGCCAAGAAGCTACAGCTGCTGACAGCCATTTCAGGAAGCTGTGTGCAGTGTGCTCTCCGATTTCTGGGTAATTGGGTGCAGGATTGGTTCTCAGCTTGCTTGGTGCAGACAACAGGGATCATGCATGCATATTTATGCAGGATAACATGATGGGTAGATCGGGGTGTGATTAGGTTGGTGGTTGGCCAGATTAAGCAAAGCGACTTCTGTTCTGTTTGGAGTTGGTGATGGTCAGGCCAGTTTGATGAGAAGCTGGTATTGACGTAGTGACACGCACTGTGACTCAATGTCATCAGTTAGTTCAACTCCCTACTGGTTCCGAAGTAATACCTGCGCATCAGATTGGTTTGCCAACGATTGGCCTAAATTGAGCTTCTCTGGTATTTGGTCAAGTACGTAATTGAGATGCAAAAGCACCTCTAACTGCTTCCAGTGTATGATCGGGATTAAAAGGAGCTTTTTTTATCAATGAGCTGACTCGTTCTTTGCCTTGAACCTGACAAACAACAACACACAGAGCCCTGAGGTTTTCTGACTGGCAGCACATACAGGCTACGATCCTATCTGGGTATTGAACTACTAAACGTCATATATCATGGTACAGAGGGCCTATTATGAAAAGCATTCCTTGCGTATGTGATTTGCGTATTTTCCTAAAGTGTTAAAAAACCCAAACCACTATCTAACCCTTCACCATTTTTCTCTTTAGGCGGTGAAATTTAGAGACTCTGGGGGATAAAATAGGTTCTATAGAAATGCAACAATGGTAAAAACAACCTATATGGCAATGGAAAGCTAGCTACACAAGTTAAGCAAGAGCAACAATTAGCTAGCAAGCACACCCACAAAAGTAAGGTCAAAGGGAACAGATTAAACAACAAGTTGGAGACAAGGATGTATTTCGAAGATTACACTCTTAAGGAGTGTTAATCTCTGTTGGAGGGGTGCGAGAGTCAAAGCTTCTCGGATGCCACCAAGACTCACCCTATTCTCCTTGAGGCTCTTAGCGAAGGAAGGACATCAATCCACTAGTGGTTCTGTCTTGAGACGACCACCAAACGATTACAAACTTCACCGGAGCACACCGCATGCCAGAGCTTCCGGAAGGACTCCAACCAGTTATGAGTCCCCAACAACGCCAAGGGTAACATGTTTTGTATAGCACAAGCAAGGGATCATCATTGATTTGGTGGAAGTGTAGATAAAAGGTTCCTCTTTGAATCCTCAACTTTGAAGAGATTTGGTTAGTGGAATCAAAGTGGATGAGCATTTTTGAGGTCAACAATGGTGGCTGCTCAAGTTTAGTTGATAGAGTTGTAGGCCGAAGAAGGGGGTTTCTTATATAGCTCCCTTCAAAATCCAATAGTTGCCCTCACTTACCGCGTACCGTGGAGTTTTGGGCACCCTGGTGCCCGGAAATACAATCAAACCCACTAGTAGCCCCAGAGTTTCGGGGCCACGAAGTTGTAACTCCGGATTATCCAGTGGGGCTAGCCCTAGGTACCCCAAAGACCTAGGGTATCCTCACTATGAATGGGAGGATAAGAGGGGCTAGCTCTAGGTGCTTGCATATCATTCCATTGATAGAAGAAGAAGAAGAATCAGTACAGGGGGTACAACACATGACACGAATGCAAGCAAGCGTGAACATGGTGCCCGGAGCAGAGAGACAAGGGATGCTCGACCCAAACAGAAGATACATCACAACTAAACCTACCAGACCTGAGCCAAAAGCGGCGTTGTCAAACCAAACAGAAGGTACTCTCTTTATATGGCTTTTCTTGGGGTGGGGGGTGGGGGCGGGGATGGGTACCCAAACTTATACACCACTTCAACCCCTCTCAATAGTGTGGCTTCCTATAACTCAATAAATCGATAAACTTTGGACCTTCAAATTATCCCACACCATTTTGCTTTTTGAAATGGGGGGAGGTCTCTCCATTATTTTGACAATATGGGACTAGTGACTTGAAGATTACTTGATAAATATGTTAGTCTCACTATACAACACCAAAACACACTTAATTCGCTAGATGCACTTTCACGTCGGGTGTCAAAATCAAAGCACCAGGATATGCACTCCTTGCGTTATGGTGCATGCATCCCAGGGGTTCCAGCGGCGATGTGCTCTGTGAATGTGTTGGTACATATGGCACACTTTTTTTCACCAGGGGAGGAACCTCCTCACAAGCGTGAAGAAGTGCCGACACGTTGATGATGAGTCGGCGGTGCACAGTGTGAGGTTGAAGTGGCATCCCTTCTTTGCCGTGACCACACATGTGACCAGTGCTCGGATAGGATGCTGTCAAGGATGATGATGTCCAACTCATCATTCCTGGTTCACAGTAGTTCGATTAGTGTCGTGTATGACAGGTTATCTTTTTTTTAGAGCCGTTCTGTGAGAGATGCCATCTTTTCTTCTAGTCCTTCATAATCAATTGCTCATAACTAGCATATCCCTCCACATAGTACCAAACCGAAAGTATGTCCCAAAACTCTACTTCCTCCTTATCTCCACACTAGATAAGCAGGAACCACCCTAAACATTAGAGGCCCGGATATGTTTCACAAACGAGGAGCCACAAATATCTAGGAATCGATCATCCACCAAGGCACAATCAAGCTGGACCTTTTCATCCCGCTGATTGTCCCATGTTATACGAAAGGCCTGCAAAACCCAACTATATGAATCTATAATAATATGTCGAATCCCCGAACTGCCATTTTTCATTCTTCATAGGATCCACTACCAAAGAATTTTGAAGTGTCAATATGTCTTTAAAACCCTGACACACAACCAAAGTAATTAAGTCTCATCGCGGAGGAAATTAAGTAAGTACCAATACCCACGTCTGTGCTCATGCCTAAACTATTATAGACCCCCCGCCCCAAACCTCCAAGTTCTACCAAAACCATATCTAAGAGCAACCCAAAGGTCAATATGTCGCTTGTTGAAAGATTTCTGCCACACAATCACATCACTAGTCCGCCGAAGCACCGCCCCTTCACTAAGCCAGTGTTGTTAACAACAGGAGAGTTAGTAAAGCCCACTTGATTCCCTAAATCTGTTTGAATTCTTCGCTAACATTTTGCATCCGGTGGGAAGACTGAGGGAGTCCTGGATTAAGGGGTCCTCGGACGGCCAACTATTAACATGGGCCGGATTGTTGGGCTATGAAGATACAAGATAGAAGACTTCCTCCCGTGTCCGGATGGGACTCTCCTTGGCGTGGAAAGCAAGCTTGGAGATTCGGATATGTAGATTCCTTTCTCTGTAACCGACTTTGTACAACCCTAGTCCTCTCCGGTGTCTATATAAACCGGAGGGTTTAGTCCGTAGAGGCAATTACAATCATAATCATATAGGCTAGACTCCTAGGGTTTTAGCCATTACGATCTCGTGGTAGATCAACTCTTGTAATACTCGTATTCATCAAGATCAATCAAGCAGGAAGTAGGGTATTACCTCCATAGAGAGGACCCGAACCTGAGTAAACATCGTGTCCTCCGCCTCCTGTTACCATTAGCCTTAGACGCACAGTTCGGGACCCCCTACCCGAGATCCGCCGGTTTGGACACCGACATTGGTGTTTTCATTGAGAGTTCTGCTAGACAGGGGGACAGAAGAAGTTTCCCCCCGAAGTTAAAACGGTGAACATGATATACACTACCCATATCCCCAAGAGGGAGCGCAAGCGTGCACTCAGGGACATCTACGCGATGGAGCCAGTCGCCCCAAAGTTCAACCCATGGTCGTCCTGCCCGATCACCTTCGATCGTAGGGACCATCCAACCAGTATCCGTCATGGCGGTTCGGCCGCACTGGTCCTCGACCCAATCATTGATGGATTCCACCTTACGCGAGTCCTCATGGACGGTGGCAGTAGCCTGAACCTGCTCTATCAGGATACAGTGCACAAAATGGGTATCGATCCCTCAAGCATCAAGCCCACCAAAACCACCTTTAAAGGTGTCATACCATGTGTAGAGGCCTGCTGTACGGGCTCAATCACACTGGAGGTGGTCTTCGGATCCCCGGACAATTTCCGAAGCGAAGAATTGATCTTCGATATCGTCCCCTTCCGCAGTGGCTATCACGCACTGCTCGGATGAACCGCATTCGCTCGATTCAATGCGGTGTCGCACTACGCTTATCTCAAGCTCAAGATGCCCAGACCACGCGGTGTCATAACAGTCAATGGAAACACGGAACGCTCCCTCCGTACCGAGGAGCACACCGCGACCCTTGCAGCAGAAGTACAGAGCGACCTTTTCAGACAGAATTTTAATTCGGTGGCCAAGCTCCCGGACACTGTCAAACGAGTTCGAACTACCCTGCAGCAGGACAGTCCAGCTCGTCAAGAGCTTGACTAGCAATTCAGCCTCCGTCCCAGTCCCGACCAAGCGGCGACATTCGTATCGCACGTACATAACTACTGTGACGCCCCCGATTCAATCGTACACTAATCATGCACGCAAATGTGTACGATCAAGATCAGGGACTCACGGGAAGATATCACAACACAACTCTACAAATAAAATAAGTCATACAAGCATCATAATACAAGCCAGGGGCCTCGAGGGCTCGAATACAAGTGCTCGATCATAGACGAGTCAGCGGAAGCAACAATATCTGAGTACAGACATAAGTTAAACAAGTTGCCATAAGATGGCTAGCACAAACTGGGATACAGATCGAAAGAGGCGCAGGCCTCCTGCCTGGGATCCTCCTAACTACTCCTGGTCGTCGTCAGCGGGCAGCACGTAGTAGTAGGCACCTCCGATGTAGTAGGGGTCGTCATCGACGGTGGCGTCTGGCTCCTGGACTCCAACATCTGGTTGCGACAACCAGAAGAAAGGGAAGGGAAAAAAAGGGGGGAGAAAGCAACCGTGAGTACTCATCCAAAGTACTCGCAAGCAAGGAACTACACTACATATGCATGGGTATATGTGTAAGGAGGCCATATCAGTGGACTGAACTGCAGAATGCCAGAATAAGAGGGGGGTAACTAATCCTGTCGAAGACTAC